CCACAAGCTAACCTGCCTACAGGTTTTCGAGTACAGCCCCCTTAATAGAATGTGTACTTACTCAGCAACCCTTTCAGTGAGAGACTACGACAAAACATCTCCAACGGTGTCAAACGCCATCATCATCATTTCAGGGAATATAACTAGTGTTGCGTTTTGTTAAGTGTTCCAAGGTCTAGAGAGTGAAGGTATGATTTATACACTATTGGCTCGGTCTGAAACCTTCTTGAACATTTTGTGCTTGACATATCCTAGTTTCAATCAGGCATTTAAATATCACAGGTGCTAGAATCTTAGATGCAATGTTCGTTAGACTGACTCCCCTGTAGTTATCACAGAAGGATTTATCTCCCTTTTTGAAGGACTCGAACAATCAGTGATTGGAACCAGTTAGAGGTTATGTCAGATACTCATACGCTGGTTAACATTAGTAAGAGTAGCTGATAATTCTAGGTCAATCTTTTAAAACTTCCGGTGGTAGCCTGTCGGAGCGTGCTGTTTATTTTCATTTCAAGCCACTGACAGTCCTCTCAGTATCAGTAAAAGTTGAAGAGCCTATCTCAGTGTTCCATTCAAGACAAGATAGCAGGAAAGCAAACAGTAGCTGGAGGCCAGTTGTACTGTCTCTCCAAGAGTTTCATTCATCGTCTCAGTCTTCCAAACTACAAGTGAATCATATATCAATCCTACTGTCCTACAGTTTTACCAAGTATCAACTTTTTCACCCGTTTCTCTCATGAGTCTAAATACCTGTCTACTGTTACCTATTGCCGCTACATCTTCACATACTAAGCATTTACTGCCCACCGTTACTGCGTAGACCTTTTGTAAGGCTGCATTCAAGTTACTTCCGTCTCTCGTTGTGCTCGGGTCCTGCTGGAATGCGTTCCTGTGCACCCATCAGTTCTGCAGATACTGCAGTGGTCCACCAATGCTTTCAAACCACTTTTTGAGATTTGCTTGCTTTCTTAAGTGCTGTTTTTGCAGCAAGCTGAAGTAAGCGCGAGGCTTCTTCAGAATGAGTGACCTTGTCCTGTTCGGACAACTGTCTACCCAGTTTCTTGCTGGAACCAGGCTAAGTATTCTTATCGTTGAACTGCACTCTGAATAATCCTGTTGCTGCATATTTTCTCCGTCCACTTAGGCACGGATATGCACTTCAACCAGCTCGTGGTCGTTATTCAAACACAAGTTCAAGAAGGAACAGTGATCTTCCATCGATCATATCCAGTGTCAGCGGATAGCCACTATCTTTGTTGACTACCTAAGTGAGGTCAGTGGACGCCAAGTCACACGATGTCTCCCTTTATGTCCGAAGTTCGAGCTGGTCAGAAATACATGGTTGGCCAAGCACAGTTGGAGTAAACGATCGCCGCTATCTGTTACGTTCGTCTGGGTTTCCGAAAGTCCCACCGAAGCTCTTTTCTGCCTGACTCAACCTACCTACTTGATCATCGAAACCACCTGTTACGACAACATCTGATTGCTTTTCAGTAGAAAGCTAGACAGTTAGTTTTTGGTAGAACTCATCTTCCACTTCATCCGAACTGCAGTCAGTGTGCTTAAGGAGACGTTACAAAGAAACAACGACGAGTCTTACTACTTTTTTTAGTCCTCACTGTATCGTTCACTCGAACAGCACACAGGTGACGACTATAAACTGGGACCCAATCAAACAGTGTGCTTTTCGCCTTAGCACTTATTGCTATATATGCACCTGCAAGACCATGAAAAGTAGCTACTGAAACTCGAAAGGTGAATTTTGCAAAATCACTACATTGATCAGATGAGGTTAAATGAATAGCAACGCCATGGTTTCGTATGTGAACATAGCACACAATCTGCCGGATTTTCGGATAGTGAAACTTGTTGGCCGATTTGATGGAGGGTGCGGACACTGAAAGCTACAAGTGGTCTTGAGCGCGGTTTCAGGAGACTGGAGATGCTGTTCCGTGTACTCGAAACGATAATGACAACCACAGAGTTGGGAGAAACTAAATATGACGTAGGACTGTTGACTGAGACCTTGAAGAAAGATTAGAAGGCAAATATGTTGGAGGTTGATAATAACCTGATTGGGAAACTTGAGTATTGATGAGGTTACTCCTTCTCGGAGTACCTAAAAAATAAGTTGGGTTAGTTATAGCAGAGCCCAGGTAGCATCCACTTCCGACCGGTCACACATGGCCTTTTTGGTGGTTTGAGGCTAGAACTTGTCTGTTTGCTTCGATTCGTTCACAAGCACCGAAAGACTGTGGAGTGTGCTGTAGTAAGGGCCAATCTTTCTCTAACCCTCCCCTCGTGGATCGCAGCACTAGCATGGCACTGCTGGTTGTCTACAGGAAGTATCTTACTGGTGTCATATACCTGTCCAGCAAGTAGTACAACTTCGCCCTCGGATTCCTAATTAAAGGCGTAGAATATTACGCGATATCACTAACTGCCTTCTATCATACCACTACCCAAGAGACCTGCATAGTATAGTAGGACCTGAAGGGAACATGTGTTCCATCAGTATGGCTTGTTGGGTCCTTGTGATATACAAATCCAACCACAACATCAAGACAGCAGCCATCGTTCGGGAACAAACTGTAGTCAAAACATTCAAGCTTTGAAGGACGTCAGAGTAAAGACATCTGAGCCAGTGTCATCGACTTTCAGACACATAACCAACAGTCCTCAACCACTTATTCATACAGTCTCATTGACTACAATCAGGTAGTCTACACTTTCCTCAACGCCTCAGATCAACAGTCAGGAACTTCACCGACTGGCGCCATGTCTTGATCTGGTCACACTGAAACCCTCTTTCCAATCTAATACAACTTACCCTAGTATTACACGTCGTGGTAGGTGATGGCTAGGCATGCCCAGCATTTATTCAAGACACCTCAGTTGATGAACGTCCACAACCTCATCAATCCATTCTCCTATCTTCCCAGTACCCTTCACCAGACCTCAACATTTCTCATGACGGGATTCCACTAAAGGCGAACAATCCTATGAAGACACCCATAATCGAAACCCTGACATCACTTTATGCTTTCTCATTGTAACGGTCATGTCTCATAGCCATATATCGGGACAAAACGAACTGCAGTGCAGTTTGCCCAATCTCTAATAGGTACTCGAATATCTCACTAGTTGGTGGCAAAGGATATACAAGTTGGCAAATACTAAATGGACCTTCTGTATCCCAGTTGAGATTTATCAGTAGTCAGCTTGTTTGAGTTGATGCAAATCACTAAGTAATTGAAGTGGTCGACATTTCAACTACCTCACTCCCTATCCTTAAAAATGGGAGTAGTTGCAGACCAGTCCTGCAACATCATCTTACATTTGGCAGGTGCGAGATCTCTGTCAAACATACTCAGATCTCTGCTCTACGTGTCCAGAACACTATTTTTTCAGCGTCTTTGTTTAGCAGGGCAATATCATCTGCATATTCCGTGTCAACCAGGTGATCTCTATGGAGTAGATCAATCCCTATGAAGTTAGACGTACCTAAGGTTACGTCCATTAGTAAGCCTATGATGAAACTAAATAGGAATGGTGACAGTGAACATGCCTGATGGACCCCACTGTGTGTCATAAATTTTGATGATGGCTCCCCATATACCTCTGTAACACTGTGTGAGTTCAAGGAGACGGTTTTTGATAAGCATTATATGCTTTTTCAGTACTCCCTTTACAGTTAGACACTGCCCCAACACCTTACGGTCATAAGAGTCAAATGCCACCTTCGGGTCAAGAAATATGACAAGTGTCGGCCACTGGCAGGTAAGCATGCTTGTTTTCCAGGATCTATCGTGGGGTGAAAATATGGCCGATGCACCCTCGTTCAGGTTTGAAACATGCCCGGACCTCTGGAGTTTTCTATTCTCGATAATTATAGATCCTACGATCTTGGACACAATATTATTAAAACTAATTCACTACTGTTGTCAAGGGAAGACTTCTCTCTCTCTTTTATTGACTAGGATGATCAGTAAAGTAGACCAGTCTGAAGACACTACCTCTCTTTTTCGTACACTACCTAGTGCCTTCATTACTTGAATTAGCAATTTCCTACCTCCATCCTTAAAAAACTGAGTTATAAACCGTCATGTCCTGCTGCTCTACATTGTTTCAAGTCTGATACACCATTCTCAACTTCAAGAGGTTTGTGGGCCGACATCTACGTCTCATTCAACTTCAGACTGAATGCTGGGCAACTGAGCCATTGCTATGGGCCGCTTGTACTGTGCTTGTCTTCCGCCCAACGTTTTAGCCGTCAGTCCTGAGGATTTATCAGCGTTCCTTCATTTTTGGTGATGGTTTCACTAACCACTATCTTTTCTCGCCGGTACCTCTAATAAGCCTAAATAGTTGCTGAGTGTTACCCAACGCCTTCATCTCTATCTCGCCGTCCATCACTGCCCGTAATCATTGCAAAGACTATTGGTAAACATACGTTTAAGTTGCTTTCGTACTTCATCATCGTCTTCTTCATCGTTCTTCAAAGTCAGCTGGAATCAGTCTTCAGACACTAATCAGTTCGCATGACGTTTGCTAACCTTCGGGTGTAGGTTACGAACTGCCTTTACCGCTGTTTCTACAGCAGATAATATTACGCCAGGTTTCCTCAAAGTGATTTTTTGTCATTTTCAGACAAACCCTTAACTAACTTTCCCCTAACTACATATTTGACGCCCTCATTTTCCCATCAGAATCTTTTGAAAAGGTAGCACTTGATAAATATTAGGATTTGTCGATGCTGGTCACCCTGCCGTCCGTACATATGTCAGTACAAACTCTTCTCAGATAAAAATAATAAACACGCAAGACGAAGTGAAAATCAAATATATGACGATAGCTAGAAGTTTGTATAGCCTTCTAAAACATCAAAGGCTTACTGAGTAGGATGTAGCATATATGTGTTTACTTTTCCAAATATACGCCGAGATTAGACGATTACGCTTATTGCACAACAGATTTGGAAAACTGGTTTATGTAATTACCAGAAATATCTACGAATTAACACGTTGACCTCGAGTTATTTAAGCCGCCAACTTTAACCAGTACAGTTTCCAATCCAATATCCAATATTGTTGGTGCGAGCGTTATCCAATATCCAATATCTTTTTAGTGAGTTTGTGTAAACATGTGGGTCTCTTCAAGCTCGCTTCGTGGTCTTGCGGAACGTTTCCAGATCTAAGGCTGATTCTGATACAGTAGATCCAACCACTCGTCTGCCATAGCTCTGATTTACAGAACAGGAAGCTAAGTGTTGGTTTGCTTGTCTTGGGCTGTGGTGCAGTTGGCTTCTTCAGATTTCGAGTTGCCAGATAGTTGCTCGAACTGGTTGCTAGAGAGGGTTAGGGATAGTGGGGAGAAAACCTAGAAAATGTTTATGTGAGTAAAAGAAGAGAGGAGAAATGAACTAATGGAGTAATCTACTTACACTCAAGTAAGGTGAGTAGTGGTGCAAAGGCTTGAAGAACTTAGGTAAGTGAGGCTAACTTATGGCAAGTGGAAGGGGTGAAAAGGGCTTAAATGGTTACAATAGAAAGAAAACTGGTTTGGGTGGCTTAACATCACTTCGTGTCCCAGCTATGTGTAGGTAGACCGTGGGTCTCTGCATGACTGTCCAGCCTCTTCTTGAAGCCTTCAGTAGTTGTGGCGGAGACCACTTCTGCTGGTAGTGCGTTCCAGTAACCACAGACTCGGAGGGAGGAGAACTGTGAACGCACATGGGTTTTTCACCGCTGGTGGGTTATGCTATTGAGGTTTCCTCGAGGATCTCCGCAGTGGCCACTCAGTCGAACTCCCCTGTTTGGGTGGCTTGGGTTACTCGTTATCTTGTAAGCCATTATTAAGTCGCCGTGTATCCTTCTATAGTTTAGGGAGTATATACCTAGGTCTTTCAGTATATTCTTATATGGTTTTCGTTTCATTCCAACAACCCCTTTTGTGGCTCGTCCCTGGACTTTCTCCAGTAGGTTCATGCCTCTTTTCAGCTGTGGTGGGACGAAGACGTTGTGGACCTCTAAGTGGGGCCGTATTTAAGTCTTGTAGGGCTTCAGAAAGAGTTCTGGGGTGACGGCACCCAGTTGTTAACGCACAAAGTGTAGTGTACCATATGCTTTTGAGGCATCACCTGGGTAATTGGAACTGGTGTCCAGTTCTCCATCACCGTTAAACCCGGGTCTTTTTCTCCTGCGGTGTGGGATAGACGTGAACCACAGAGATAGTAGGATGCTTTCTGGAGACCAAGAGTGCGGAAAAACATGGACTGGCACTTATCCAGGTTAAATGCCAGTTCGTTATTATTTCCCCATTCCTTTAAGGTTTTTGAGGTCATTCTGTAGTGCCACAGATTCCGCCTCACAAGCTATTCCCCTCCATAACTTGACGTCATCAGCGTGTAGGAGAATCGGGGAGCTCATATGTTGCAGCAAGTCATTTACGAACAGTAGGAACAACAGTGGGCCCAAGATTGCTCCTCGTGAGACACCAGATGAGGATGTTCTCCAAGTTGAGTAGACCCTGTTGACTTTCGTGCAGAACTCCCCGTTGTCTAAGTAGTTCTGCAGCCACGATAGCACCTGGCTGCTTATACCTAACCTAGCTATCTTATGTATTAGGATATGGAGTGAGACGGTGTCAAAGGCTTTGACTAAGTCCGAAAAAATTGCGTGGACCGGGGCCTTGAGATCCCAGCATGCTGAACAGTGATCATGGGCCGTCAGGAGGGTGGAGACACAGGACCTACCCTTCCGAAAGCCACGTTGAGCATCACTAAGTGCCCGCTTGGTGTCCAGATATTCTCTGATACTGTCGTCCATCGCACTTTTCATTACTGTTGATATTACTGGTGGAAGTGCTATGGGTCTATAACAGTTGGGATCCTCTGTCTCCTCCTTTGAAGATGGAGGAAGGGATAGCCCGTTTTCACTCTCGTGGGGGCTTTTGCTCATCCCAGGAGTGTGGGTAGAGATTAAAGAGTGAGCCGCTTAGGGTGCTTGAACATTCTTTCAACACAGATGTGCGATATCGTCACACCCAGGGGATTTTCCCGCGCTTAACCGTTAAAGCTTGTCGAGAACAACAATGAGAGTTATCCGCATTCCGTGTAACTCCGCAGCATCGAGTAGCGTTGGGGGCTGTTCGTGCAACTGGTATGCACACTTTCTTGACGGAATGTCGGGCTGTGTGTCAAATGTGATGCTCAGCATTTCAGCAATCTTCTGTCCAGAGAGGTTTTCTCCGTTCGGACTTTTTATGACATGCTGCTTGGCTTGTCGATTTTCTTTTTGCCATGAATCGGCAAAGGTTTTTGGGGTTTACCTCAAGCCTCTTGGCTAGGTTGGACTGGGACGACCTCCTGTCTCCCCGCACCCTTATGTTGCCTCGATTCCGTAGAGTCACGTACGCGTCATGGTCGTCCTGTTCTCCGGAAAGTCTCCATGTGTGCCACGCCCTTCTCTTGGCTTTTAGAAGGTGCCCAGTGTCTCGTTTTAGCCGTGACGTTCGCTTCCTGGTTGTTGTTACCGCCAAAAGAACGTTTTGCGAGATGGCCGCCTTGATGGCATCTTTTACCAGTTCCCAGTGCCGGTCGATAGATAAGGAACACCAATCCACTGGCCACGGAGCTGTTGAAAGGCTTTTGTTCATACCTTCGTAATTTGCCTTGTTGTAGCAGAAATAAGGTCCCTCCCATGATAGTTCTTCACTAATTACCAGGCCGAACATTACCATAGCGTGATCGCTACCTCCAAGAGGGGTTCGTACCTGAACGTTTTCAGCCAGAAGGGGATCACTAGTCAGTAGGTAACCCAGTTTAGATGGTTTGCCATCTGGCTCTTAGCGGGTGTTGTCGCTGATTTTTTCCCGCAGTCCAGCCATTTGGATGGCGTTTAGCAGGTTACATTCGAACTTCCGTCTCGGGGTAGTGCCACCTTGCCCTAGGCCGAGGGTTGGAGCGTTGAAGTCGCCAGCTATTAAAATCTGGTCGTACACTATAGTTGATACTGGGATATTGCTTGGAGTAGTTTTTGGTCATGTTCCAAGTTGCTATTGGGGGACCTACAGATTCCTTTAACTAGGAATTTTGTGTATTCGACCGTGAAAGCGGTACGTTTGAAATTGTGCTACATTTTAAGCGATTTCGTAACTGCATCATAACTTCATTATTAACGTCATCATAAAGCTATTGAATTCTCAAATGACTAGCCACATATCAGACATGCAACTATATCTGGCTAGTGCATGTAAAAAGGCACGGACACGACTGTCTGGAGAACAGTGCATCAACAATACCCAAATGTTGGTGACACCAAAAGCAGATTCCTCTTGCAACAGCATAGGTGAGTCAGCTTATACTCTAGTTATGCTCAAGAGAAGAAGAAATGCGTTCGATAAGACAGCCAACGTTAATAATATTGGAAAAACCTCTGCATGCCCAACATGTAACAAGACCGCAGCACTAAATGCTGCAGAAGACGTAAAGCTTAATGGAGGCTCCACATCTTTTGTTAGACTAACTAGACTTCAGCCACCAAGTGTGTCATTGTCACTTCTTCCAGAAATCGAAAACCTGAAGTACTCTATAGGGGAACTAAGGGCAGAAATACACAAACTGAAGGATGACAAACATAATGATGCACCACAAGAAAGTATGTTAAGGGCGTTCGGGGTGTCACCTCCAACTGGATGAAATCAGAGCCCAGATCAGCAACCTCTTGCCACTGAGCATCCTGACGCGTAGTGAATCCATTAATGAAGTTGACATGGAAACACTATCCAAGGTAGATCACCTGGTAAACTTTATCACCACTGAAGTAAGTAAGAGACTAGCACTTAGATTGGACGCAATAGTTTACAACGTCCCTGACACGACAAAGTTGAAGGCGACACGAGAAATTTTGCTTAGAACAGCAAAAATGCTTGATGTCCAAGCAAAATGTTTTTGGCTAAAGAAAAGCCAGCAGGACCGCTGCTGTCCGATACGCTTTCAATTTAAATCACAGACAGAAGCTAAAGCATTCATCAAAGCGGAATCTATCTTAGCAAAAAACACTGTTTTCACAGGAATAAAGATAGTTCTTGATAAGACAGTGGTGGAGAGGCAGGTATACAACTGCGCTCATAGGCCTGACAGTCAAAAGGCTCCAAAGCTGCAACACACTGAAGCAGTAGGTATCTCCCTCAACATACCCAAGCCTAGGACTTTTCCTTCCACAAACTCTATCAAGTCAAATATACGGAAAAACACACCGACCAACGTGGAGACGGAAGACCGCGAAAAGTATGATTTGACTCAACCACCTGAAACTATAGATCTAGACGTATCCATAGAAAGTCCCGAAGTGAAAACTGTCACAGCACTAAATGTGACAGAGCTCTCGCTGAGGTCTACTGGAGGCCTAAAGTCCACTAACCACACCAGCCTAGGTCCTAGGATATCGGCCACCCGATATGCAACAGATAAACCAATGATCCCGCGGAACCCAATACTTAGAGACGGAGGCAGAAAGCATATAATGATCTGAAGTGATCGCGTAATCCCTTCTAGAACTGACAGAAGTACGAACACTAGCTCCACCAATAAGGTTCTATGCACTGAGCTGAGTCTCACTAGTAACGAGAACAAAAATAGATGTCACAACAACCCAACCCTATCGTTTACTAATGAGAAAAGCCGGCATCAAACCACCCATAATAGAATGTCAGCGGGGTACTTTGTGAGGAAAACCTTTGGTCGGCTGCATGGCACTAGTTTACTAGGAGACGGCCCTCGACCTAACATCACGCCAGTTAAGTCCGTTGTGAATTGTAACAGAAGGCAGTCACTGGTAAGGAATACAACGCAGAACAGAAGTTTACATGGACCACAAAAACACGATGATTTTTTGTCCAATGCATCCCTATCAGCTGCAGTTTTGGCCAAACAACTGATGGGGATGTTGAAACCCCTTACTCCGAACCGCTAATCTTAGCGCCCTCGGCGCAACAGAAAAGACACAATCAAACACACACAAATCCTAGACACCAACTACCCAAGTGGTATTAACAGATGCAAA